TGTGATTGGTTAGCTGGGTCAGTGTGTGCTGTGATTGGTTAGCTGGGCCAGTGTGTGCTGTGATTGGTTAGCTGGGCCAGTGTGTGCTGTGATTGGTTAGCTGGGCCAGTGTGTGCTGTGATTGGTTAGCTGGGCCAGTGTGTGTTGTGATTGGTTAGCTGGACCAGTGTGTGTTGTGTTTGGCAGCACTCGGCGCCTGGTCGGGAAATGTCACTTCCATTACCATAGCCGCCTGCGAGCTTCAGTGTAAATATTGCCTCAAAATCAAAGGCAAGTGTACAGGGTTCAATCTGATTACTATAAGGCAACACGATTCAATCTGTTTATATTGCATTGTTTTGATAAATAAAAAATGAAGTATTTGCTTAATTTTTTATCCCCCTCCTGTTGATGTATGATTCAAGGAATATTCTGTTTAACGATTCACAATAGTATAAAAACATGTTTTGCACCCAAATTACAATATGTGTTATGTCTTTACCAAGCATTAAGCTAACCACCCTTTACACAAACGTTATTACAGTAGATAAAGTCCAGTGCCAATAAAGACATAAAAAAATGATGAATAGTCTCAACTTTAGATTGGTTACTGCAACAATTTTGAACAAATTATTAATAAATGATTTGTAAAGTTGTGAAAAGGTTCACTTTCAGACACTTTTTGCCATCAAAATGACTGCTCATAAAGGTACTAATGATTAGTAAATGTTTATAATCATTTACAATTTATGAATAGTTTCCACTTTTGATTGGGTACTGCAAAAGTGGAATTTATAATCATTTACAATTGATAAATAGTTTCCACTTTACATTGGGTACTGCAAAAACATTAACAAATAATTAATAAATGATTTAAGATGTGCAAATAGGAAGTCTGCACAACAAACCAAGACCAAATATATGACCTTTACAGACTGTGACTATGAGTTAATGAATATATTAACATTAATAATTTGTGAAGTGCTTAAAATGTTTAATTAAGCTATATTTTCACAACATTTGTAAATGTAAAAAAGAGCATTAGTTAATATGTGAACTGAAGTTTAATGACATTTGTAAGCATTCAAAAGTACATTAACAAATAATCTTGTAATCGTTGTATAATTTCAGTTAAAATCATTTGTAGATTTTTAAAACACATTTAAAGTTTAATGACATTTGTAAACATTAACTTATGATCCGTTAAGCATTATATACTGTTTGTTAATGATATATTAATGAAGCTTTTAATAATTGTAAATCATCTGTCAAAATCATTTGAATTTTTTTTTCTTTTTTTATTTTTAAATGCATGATCATATGAATTGAAAGTTTGATGACATTTGTAAGTGTAGTAGCATGGCCCCTTTAAGAATGGTGCGTGGAGTGCGTGGTGGGTTGGTACGTCAGGTAATCACGTAATTATATAGACACAGGTGAGATTTCACTTCAGGTAATCACAGGTGAGATTTCACGTCAGGTAATCACGTAATTATATAGACACAGGTGAGATTTCAGTTTCCTCGTGGCATTGCACTGATGTGACCTGTTGTGTGGGTCGTGTATTTTCCTCACTCCTCTGGAAAGGTATGGTTGTTGTTTTTAAAGTCTTTTAGACAAAAATGAATTATACATTTAGAATATGGGTGTTTGGGGGGGAAACTAATTTAATTCGTATTTGGATTAATGTGATTGTTGTTTCATGTAATTTTAGATTAGTCGTGTGTGTCCAGGCATTGTTAGCGAGTATTTAAGTGTCATGCGCCTGAAAGGTACATGTTCTTTTACCTTATTTATATTCTAAAATGTTTGAGGGGAGAAATTCTAAAATGTTTGAGGGGAGAGAAGCAGAAGAAAAATGTCTTTGTTGTTTTGCAGAAGTCGCCAGCTGCTGCTTTGTTCTGGTTTATATATATTGTGGTTCCAGTTTTGGGACGCCAGATTATTGCTTGCGCACTGTTGCTTTGAAAGCCTTCAGTTCGCTATTTCCCTTGGAGACGCAAGACTGTTGCCTCTTGTTCCGTTGCCACCTGGTGGTCGGTTGCCAGTATATTGATTTGTGTTGTTCGACTGTTGCGTGTGCCTTGTTAAAGTGTGTGTGTGTGTGTGTGTGTGTGATCGCGCGCCTTTGAGTTGGATTGAAGTTTCTTTGTTTTGTTATTGTTTGGTTTGTTTATTGTATTCTTATTTGTATTATTTGGGTGTTTGTTTGAATTGTTATTGGGGTTGGTTGGGTATTATTTCTTTGTCTTGCCTTACATTGATATTGCTCAGTTAAGGGACTGAGAATTTATGGTTTATTTTTTCTTTTGTATTGTTATTCGTTGCTATTATTGTCATTGTTGTTATTTTCACTTTCATTGTTATTATTATTATTGTTGTTTTTTTTGTTAGTATAGGGGTGGCCGGTTCATTTGGTCGTACTAAACCAAAGCCATTGGGCTGGTTATATAGTGTCTCTTTGGTGCCCCATAAGCAAGGTATTTGGACATCTCCGCTACCAATGCCAATGAATGCTAGTTTGGCTTAAACCAAGTAGTTGACTTTTAAGGTGTAAAGTGCCTT